TCTCCTTATCCCTCAGATTAGGACAGCGTGAAGCTCAGTTTCTTAAGCTATAAAATGGTTAGCGTTATAACAGCAGTCGGTGAACACTTCAGATTTCATTTTTTAGACAAGTTTCTGTGAATGTAAAATTGCAAATTAAACTATAATAAATCTTAAAAATGTTAAATTGTTCTTATAGAATAGTAACCAGCAACTAATTTGAGGGGGTGAAATAGGTTCTCGCTGTGTAGTTCAGGCTGCTTTTGAACTTTGTAGCCCAGACTGATCTCGAACTCATTACAGGCGTGCACCAGTGCACCTGGCCCAGCAACTACTTTTAAATCATTGACTATTTCTAGGCGGATTAATTTTGAAGAGGATGTCGGAAAACCATAATAAGCCAGTTTAGGTTTTAAATTTTGAATGCAGGTGATCTCCAACTCAGTTAATGTAAAGTTTTCTGCGTTAGGATAATGTGAAAGCTATACACATTCAGGAGAAGCACAACTTCAAACTGAATTTGGATCCTTCCCACATACTAGCAAAGTACAGCGCCACCCTTTTTGAAATGCTGGGCTGGGGCAGTGAGCCCAGCCCGGGGTCAGTCCCTGGAATAGATGAGCCATTCAACACTTGGTTAGAGAGTAGGTTTTCTGTTAAATGATTCTGGCCAAATGTAGGTTAAATGTTCAGGAGAAGCTGTGATGGTCTGTAGGTTAGGTACATTAAATGCGTTTTCAATTTAGGATTATTTTCTCTCATATCCTTGAGAAGTATCCGTACATGGTGCTTGTGAGGTGAAATTTCAGTGTGCTGATGACAATGACGACAACGATGATGATAAAATCCAAATGACTTTACAGGCCTTCACGTCTTGTCAGGCACTTGTGAGGTCCTTGGCTAAAGTCTTGTGAGCTGGGATGGGTTTGGCCCAAATCAATGAGAAGAAGGGTTGTCTTTGCATGGACCTTGGCCCCCATTCCTGCCTGACCTCTCTCTCTTTCTCCCCCTTCCCACACAGCATCTGTGCAGCGAGCTTACACTGGGATCTTGCTCATCTTCTTGTAAATTTTGGGCAAAATAGTCAGAGGTCTTCAAATATGCTCTATAAATTGAAGTTTTAAAACAAATAGGCAGGCATGGTGGCACACACCTGTAATCCCATCACCTGGGAGGCTGAGCCAGGGGGAATCACTGTGAGTTTGAGGCCAGCCTGGGCTACAGAAGGAAGTTCAAGACCAGCCTGAACTGCATAGTAAAACCCTGTTTCAAAAAAAAAAAAAATTGAAACTGCGTTCACCGCTATTTGCAGCGCCTCACTGAGCTCCAGCAGCAGTTATTTCTGTCTCCCAGGGACTGAGGCAGCTCTGCACTGGGAGTTGGGGACTGTGGGGGGTGTCCGGGGATTCAATTTCAGAAAAGAGAATTTTTTAATGTATCTAACTAATAAGAACTAGCAAGAAATCAAAATGTTTAGGCTTATGTTTGAAGCTATTTTTGCCATGCATTTTTATTGAGGTACATTTTTCATAAGTGAAATGTATGTCCATTTTCAATGTGCAGTTCAATGACTTTTGAAAAATGTGTACAGGATGTTCCAGTCACCTCTGACAATTCTTTTGTGCCCATCTTCGTCTGTTCTCTGTTGCTATCACAGAAATACCTGGCATCGGGTCATTTATTTCAAAAAGCAGGTTTTTTGGTTCATGGTTATTAGGCTTGTATCTGTATGTCCCCTCAAAGCCTCATGCAGTCATAGGTGGGGCTTGTGTGGGTTGCTAGATCTAGGGAGTGTGCTGCTGGGGTCAACGATGTGATGCTGGGTTAACTCATGGTGTGATACTAGCATTAAGGGTGTGAGTGCTACTTACCCAGGGCGGGAAGCCTGGGTAAAATATAAGGAATAGAAAGAGGCTTGTGACTGGTCCCTCACTTGCTTGCTGTGCCACCTTTTGCCTACCATGAACTGTTTCTCTTCTCTGATGCCCCCCTGCCACGCCACTTTGTCTTAGAGCCAGCTGATTATGGACTGACACCTCTATAACCCATGAGCTAAATAAACCTTTCCTCTTTTAGCTTTGGGTGTCAGGTATTTTGCCTCAGCAATGAGAAAACTAACCAAGACAATGGTTCTGAAGGCCAAGAAGTCCAAGAGCATGGTGCAAGCTTCTGCTTGGTTTCTGGTGAGGACTTCATGATGGAAAGTGGAAGGGAAGAGACCATGTAGAAAAGAGAAGAGGGGATTAAGGGGCCAAATACTTTATAAAATGCGACTCTCCAAATGGAGACCCAATCCAGTCTCAAAAGAAAACCCCTAATCCCACTTAAAGGCTCCATCTCCAACACCCCACATTGGCAGTCAAACTGCTCCATGAGTTTTGGTGCGGACAGACCATATCTAATAGCAATGCCTGCCCCATTCTCCCTCAACAACTGCGGTGCAGTTTAGAAATTCACACAAACGGAACAATCTCTTCCCCTCCACTCCCTCTCCTCGCTCCCTTTACTACTTAATCCAGGCTGGGTTTCAACTCAGAATCCCTCTGCCTCAGTGTCCTGAATGCTGAGATTATAGGTATGCACCACCATACCCTGCTAGTAATTCTTTTGGTATCTGGCTTCTTTCCCTCAATTTTAGATCTAGGAGATTTATCTAAATTGTCCTATAATGTATTCCCTTTTGTTGCTGAATAGTAGCCCATTATCCCATTGTTGTGTTTGTCAAAACTTTGTTGAACACTTAAGCGGTTTTCAGTTTTTTTGCTATCATGAATAAAACTAATCTAAACATTTACGTACCAGCTTTTATGAGGACATAGCCCAGTAACACGATGCGGCCAGCCTATCACAGCTGATACTGTGTATCTCTTCTCAACTTTGGTTCAGTGACATCAAATTGGTAGCATGGTGGGAGTTTTTACATCACAAGTTCTTTTTTTTTTTTTCTGAGACAAGGTCTTGCTATATAGTTCAGGCTGGTCTTGAACTCACTATGCAGTCCAGAATGACCTCACACTCATGGAGTCCTTCTGCCTCAGCTTCTTGATTGCTGAAATTACAGGTGTGCACCACCTCGCCCAGCTTACACTACAGTTGACAAATGCTACAAATGAGTTTTTTTCCTGGAGATCTGGTTGTTAGTGTTCACCAGTGTACATTGGATATATGTTTCTTTTCTAGAGTTAATATCTAGAAGTATTACTTGCTGGCTTACACAGAAGGTGTATATTAAACTTTAAGGTGACAAACTGTTTTCTAAGTGGTTGTACTATTTTACACTCCCAGTGTTTGAAATATTCCAGTTTCTCAGAAAGGGAGCAATGGGAAATAGAGGTTATGTGACAGCCCAGTAAGTAGAAATTCTATCCCCACTTTTTTTGAGATATCAGAGACTTCACACTGAGCTCCCAGCCCTTTTTATTTTTTATTTTGAGACAGATACTTGCTAAGTCACTAAGTTGCCCAAGCTACTTTCAAACTTGTAATTCTCCTGCCTCGGCCTCCCACAGTGCTGGGATTATAGACATATGCCATCGTCCTGTCTTCAGTCTCTTCTAATAGGGAGGATAAACACATGTTGAAACAAGCTAAGGCTCCCTCATGTAGTAACCTCCCTCTCTGATCATTCCCATTTTATCACAGCGGTTCTGGCAGTCTCTAAACAGAATGTAGTCACTTAAAAAAAAAAGGCCATTCATACCCTTGAGGAACGGATTAAAAAGAAAATCTCGGGCCAGCCCAGTGAAGTCTTCCCATCAAGACAGAAGGAATGAAGCAGCTTTATTACTGAACAAGCATTTAATAAGGCTGGGCTGTACATCACAAGCAATCTCCTGAAGAGATTTCAAGGGCAGAAAGAAACCTTCTGGGTTTATATCTCCAGGCAGATACAAATATTTATATACACATTCTCAAAGTAAGCATTAACTGATCCTCAAGTAAGAAAAGTTGACAGCACCGTTCAGTTCGGAACACGCAGTTCCCCCAAATTTAGCTAGTAATTGGGGTGGCCATCTTTTACTTGAAAGCTTTTATTGAAAGGAAAACTAAGACTCCTATCTCTATGACTAGTGGGTAACAACTTAAAACCGGGCACACAGATGAAATTCCCAGGGAGACAGGGATGTTATTTTTGTTGTTTACATTTCAGACAGGTTGCCCTAACGCCTGTAAGGAAATACAATTGCCTTTATCCAAAGGAAAACTAAGATTCCAATCTTTATGACAAGCAGATAACAACCTGGAGCTAGGAAAGCAAATGAAATTCCTACAGACAGGGAGACAGTGATTTCAGTTGTTTATATTTCAAAGAGATAGCTCCAGGGCCCTTAAGGAGAATATCCCCAGGTTGTGAAAGTGGCCAGAGAATTCTACAGTACTTAGCTTGTAAAGAGACTTATATAAATCTCAAATGGACAGGAAAAAAAAAAACTTACAACTTTTTTGAAGGAAATGCTCCAAGGGGAAAGTCTCCTTCTTGACAACACGGAAGATTCAACTTTAAAAAAAAAAAGTATCCTTCCCCACCTCCACACACTGACTGTCCCTGTGCTCCATTCCAGGTCCACAATTCCCTTTTCCACCCCGCCACTTATGGCTTCTCTTTCGGATCCTCATCAATACCTTTCCAAACCTCCTAAAAGAGATAGACCTCCCCTTCTAGCCCTGGCCACACCAGAGACCCACAGTTATCAAAGGCTATAGCTACGGTCTTGTAGAGCTGGTTAAAAATTGCACAACCCATTTCATAGACAGTAAAACTGAGACACAAAAAATTCTGAAAGGGTGCTTAGGATACTGGCCCCAATTTCCATTTAAGGTTTTCTCCATCCAGACTGTTACACTTTAAGGTCTGCCTCAAATGATTGGAAAAATAAAGAAAAACAAAACACCTCTTCTTTATTACCTGGCATGATTAGGGTTAAAGCGTTTGGCACGCAGTTCGCGCCCCAAGTGCGCCTGCGCAGGTCAGGACGTGCGAATTTGCCCCAGACCCTGACGTTTCAAACCACCTCAGCTATTCCGGAACACGACCACATTCCGCTGGTCCTGCCTTGACTGGCGTGACCGTAACCCAATAAGAATGGACGGCTGAGTCCCGCAGAGCCAATGGCCAAAATCCGAGGGGCGGTGGAGGCGGACTCTGTGAGGAAACAAGAAGACAGGCCCAAGATGGAGGCGCTGGAGGCTGTAGCGGTGTGACAGGTGAGGGCGGGCCCGGTAGCTTTAGGTTTTTGGAGTGGCCGCCAGGCACAAGCAGGGAGCCCGGACTGAAAACTCAGTTCCAGGATGGCTGCGCTTGGACCCTGGTGGCCCCACCCCCGCCCGGACCCAGAGGAGTGGTTTGACCCGAGGCGAGACCATCCTCGCCCGCGGGGGTGGGGCGGAGACAGCTGCCTTGATGGTTTCGCCCCGCGGTGCGAGCAAGTGGCCGTGCGCCTGCGCAGAACTCGATGCCCTTCGGGAGGCCGGGCCTGGCCGAATGGGGCCTGGGGCCTGGTCCGATGTTGTCTGGATTCACTTCTAAACCCTTTAAAATTCCTTCCTTAACAGCTCCAGGGAATGCATGGAGATGCGGCTCACTTCCTGGCTTCCTTATTGTGGATCAGTGTCTGAGCCCCTAGAGATGTCTCAGGATTTCCCCATCACCCCTCCTTCACCCTCTCCAACATCCTGCCGCGATCTTTCACTAAGTTTACATCAGTAGTCTGTTGGCATTAGTTGTCAGATGAGTTTTGGAGGCCTTCCTTCCACCTTACCTCCTTATTTCTCACTTTGACACCATTTACCTTCCTTTTCCATTCCCCATTACAATGTCTGATGAGCCACTATTACCAGCTCTGTTATCTACCCTTCTCCCCATTAAAGTCCTTAGTCACTCCTATTACATCTCCCTTCAGTACAGTGACCGCCTATAAACTCATCATAGAGTCTGATGGCCCCCGTTAGCCAGCTAACAGCATCCGTGATCCTGCCATCAGCGTTACATCCAGGACTCACAGTGCCCTTTAAGAACACTGATCTGACGTCCCTTTCTCCCACGCTAAGGGCATGCTCTAATGACCCAGCATTTGTCGTCACGCTCTCTGGGCCACCTCCCTCACCTTTATCTGGTCACTCCATTAAAATGAACAGTACAGCCTGTTCATGCCCATTATGTACGGACACCCCCAGTGCAGTGTGTGCTGACTTCCCTGTCCCCAGCACAGAGTCTTGTGTACTGTACCATCCAGGACAGCGTGTGCTACCTCCCTTTGTGTCCTGCCGCCTCACCACAGTGATTCCGTGACCTTGGCACCCAGGAGTGAGACAAGCAGCAGGAGAGTCTGAGCAAAGGAGGACTGGGTAGAGTTCAGGTGTTAACAGGATGCTTGGGGTGGTGTGGAAATTAGGCGACAGAGGGCAACGGGAGTCTGGAGTTGGAATTTTATGTTGTCCCCTGCCACTTTGCTTCAGGCTCTCATTACTGGACCTTTACATTTCTCTGCCTGCTCTTTCCTAGAAGACCCATGGCATCTGCCAAGCCCCACCTCAGTCCATCTTGACAAAGTCTTAGGCTCCATGGAGCCACCTCGGGGGCCCCCTGCTAACGGGGCCGAGCCATCCCGGGCAGTGGGCACTGTCAAAGTGTATCTGCCCAACAAGCAACGCACGGTGGTGAGTCAGGAGGGCAAAACTGGCAGGGGTGTGGATGGACCCAGTTGTAGGTCTGGGATTGGAAGGGTGACAAAGGCTGGTGGCTCCCTGCAATGGAGTGGGGACATCAGCTGCGTCCCCACCTCTTCACATGCACAGGTGACTGTCCGGGATGGCATGAGTGTCTACGACTCTCTAGACAAGGCCCTTAAGGTGCGGGGCCTCAATCAGGACTGCTGTGTAGTCTACAGACTCATCAAGGGGTAAGTGCAGCAGCCCCGCCACCCACTGGATGCCCCTCCCACCTCGCCGCCTCAGAGTCCTCTCATTCCTTCTTCACTCTGGGTTAGAGTCTTGTACCCGTTCAGTTAACCCATGAGCCTATTCATATTTTGTTTCATTTCTTCATTAGCTCATTGGCCTGGAAAGTCTGCAACTCATTCTCTCCTTAGCCCCTAACTCCTCGCCTGCTCTGCCATCTCCTCCTGGAGTTCATCTGCTTTGCTTTTTCACAATTTCATGAACTCCCCAGCTCTCTCTTTCCTCGGTTTCCCTATATTCTGCTGAGTTGGGCCTCTCTGATCATCCTCAGCTCACGGGTTCCTTAATTTTTGTATCCAGCTCACACATGGTGTTGTTATTTGTTGTTTTCACTTTTTCAGGCTGGCTTGCCACCTTTAAGGTTTGGTTGCATAGCTTCACTTGCTTCTCCCTTTGTAAGAACATGAACTCTTACCATCATCCCTTTGTGGCCTTGGGCAAGTCACTTTCTCCCTCTGAGCATGTCTCCCCCGCAAAAAATGGGGACAAAGATAGTGACTAATTGAATAAGAATTAAAGATGCCGGGTATTAGTCTGTGACAAGAGGCTTAGATTTTTTGAGGACTTTCTGTATCACTGTGACCTCTGGCTGCCCTCCCACTCATTGCCTTCCATTCTCCCTGCAGGAGAAAAACTGTCACTGCCTGGGACACAGCCATTGCCCCCCTGGATGGAGAGGAGCTCATTGTGGAGGTCCTGGAAGATGTGCCGCTGACCATACACAATTTCGTGAGTGCAGTGTAGAGAGTGGGGGCAGCCCATGGGGGGAAGGGAGGGCCCTGATTGGTCCTCAACCTTCTCGCTATGTGGGAGCAGGTCCGTAAGACGTTCTTCAGCCTGGCCTTCTGTGACTTCTGCCTTAAGTTTCTGTTCCATGGTTTCCGCTGCCAAACGTGTGGCTACAAGTTCCACCAGCATTGTTCCTCCAAGGTCCCCACAGTCTGCGTGGACATGAATACCAACCGCCGACAGTGAGTTCAGCCTGGGTGGCTGGGGACAGGGAGGATAGAGGCCCAGCCACAATCCCTTACAGACAGCTCAGCCGTGTCCTCTTTGTTTTATACCCTTAACAACTTAAGGTTCTACCACAGTGTCCAGGATTTGTCCGGAGGCTCCAGACAGCACGAAACTCCCTCAAACCGTCCCCTGAATGAGCTGTTCACGCCACAGGGTCCCAGGTAGGGATACCTTAGCTAAAGAGTTCCTGGGAGGAGACAAAGGTCTGGTGGTCTTTGTAGACCACAAGCCATACTTTCATTTGTTTACTTGACAAGCATTTATTGAGCGCCTACAAGCATGAATAGAGGCATGGAGCTCTGGGACCTTGGGCAGGTTACCTAATCTCTCTGAGTTCCAGTGTGCTCATCTATAAATAGGGAGTGATACTTTTTACCACATAGGGTTCTGATGAAGATTAAAATGAGTAAAGGCATGTCCAGTGCTTAGAGCAGGGTCTGGTACAGAGCAGTAAATAATCAAATTTCCCTATTGTTAACTGTAAGTGTGTATAAGCATTTACCTACTTTGTTGTTGTATAACTATGCTCAAGTCTTTGTATTTTGAAATACATGTTATATTGTCATAAATGACTTCCCTAATCCCAACACTCTGGGCTGCTGAGGCAGGATTGCAAGTTTCAGCCCAGCCTGGGTAACTTAATGACTTAGTAAGACCCTGTCTCAAAATAAAAAGTAAAAAGGGCTAGAGGTGTGGCTCAGTGCAGAGGCCCTGGGTTCAGTCCTCAATACTACAAAAAAATTAATTACTTCTTTTATTTATTTTATGATAATACTATAGTGTATCTGTATGTCTCTCTATACCTAATATAGAGACATATATTTTGTAATATGCATACTTATATAACATAATGTTCCTACTGTATTGCATGGTACTGTATCTTATTGTTTTCCATAATATGTTTGTGTAATGTAGAACAAATATATAGAAAGGGAAGGTCAAGGTATTACTACTTTTAACTATGAGTATATGTGGATTAATTACCTCTGAATTTCATTTCAGAATAGTGAAAAGAACATTTAAAAATATTTCTGTGGCTGGATGCAGTGGTGCATACCTATAATCCCAGTGTTTTAGTTACTTTTCCCTCATTGCTGAGACAAAACACCCAACATCCAAAGTTGAAGGAGGAAAATTTATTTGGCTCACAGTTTATAGAGGTTTCAGCCCATAGTTGGCTGGCTCCAAGGCAGGGTGGCTTGGCAGAGAGCCATCACAGAGGAAAACAGTTCATGGTGCCCATAATATAGACAAAGTAATGAGGGAGAGAAGACTTTTTCTGTCCCTTATAGTGTATGCAGGCTACTCGCCCTAAGCAAGAATAGCACTCACCCGCTTAATCCTAGCCAGAACTATGCCAAACCAGTCAGTAGAATGGTTTACTAATCACACACCCTTAATCCCAGCATGATACACTCTAGATTCAGCCACCTCTGAAAAAGCCTCATGACTGCATGAGGCTCTGAGGCGACATCTAGACACAAACCATAACACCCAGCACTCTGGGATACTGAGGCAGGAGGATTCCAAGTTAGAGTCCAGCTTGGGCAACTTAGTGACTTAGTGAGACCCTGTCTCAAAATAAAATTAAAAAAAAGGGCTGGGTATGTGGCTCGGTGAGAAGACCCTAGGTTTGATCCCCAGTACTGCACACAAAAAATATGTATGTATTTTTGTAACATGTGTAATCTATATATGTGTAACATATACTACAGTATATAACGTGATATATATTTTAAAACATTGTCATTTTAATACACAATGCATATTATATAATACATAATGTATTTGAATAATACCATTAAAATATGTAATTATGAAATATTTAGTCAGGTGTGGTGGCACACACCTGTAATCCCAGCACTCAGAAGGCTGAGGCAGGAGGATCTCCATGAGTTGGAGGCCAGTCTGGGATACATAGTGAATTCTAGGCCAGCCCAAACTATGTAGCAAAACCCTGTCTCAAAAAAACTATAGAAATAAATTAATAAAATCTTACTCTTTCTCCATCTCGTTATCCTTTCCCTCATTGTCCTTTAGGCTTTTGCTTCAATGTCACCTTCTCTGAGATTCCTGACACCCTCGTGAACACATTGTCTCCTTATTCTGTTTAACTTTTTCCTTTCTTGCACCTATGGCCCATAGGCATATTATATATTTTTTTGTTCTGCAGTCCTCTCTCCCTCTGCTGGAATATCAGCTCTACAAGGACAAGAACTTTTACTTATTTTGTTCACAGTTCTTTTTCTGCCAACTAAAATGGTATCTGGCACACAGTAGTCACCTGATAAATGTTTCTTTACCAGTAAATGAGTACTAATATGACCCATAAAAGTTGGCTCTGTGAGCTAAATGTATGTTCAGTGCAGCAGGGGCAGCCCTCTCGGCTCCTAGGTCTTTCCACAGCAAGCTCACAGCCTTCCTCCCGGCAGCCCCCGCGCCCAGCACCGTGAGCCAGAGCACTTCCCGTTCCCTGCCCCGGCTAATGCGCCACTGCAGCGCATCCGTTCCACATCCACTCCCAACGTTCACATGGTCAGCACCACAGCCCCGATGGACTCCAGCCTCATGCAGGTGGGTGCCAAAGGGACAGTGGCGTGGAGGACTGTGCAAGGGTTAGAGCCACCCCTGCCAGTCCCGGAGTTCCTGCTTTGACTCCTATCTCCTCCTTCCAGCTCACTGCCCAGAGTTTCGGCACCAATGGTGAGAACCCTCTCCCCTGCCCCGACTCACACCCCGAGGCGCCCTCTCCCCACCAACCCCCTTGCTTCCACTCACATCCTCCTCTTCACAACTGTAGCTGATGGTGGTAGAGGTGGTGGTGATGGAGGCCCCCGGGGGAGCCCCAGTCCAGGCAGCGTATCCCTGGGGAGGAAGTCACCACATTCCAAGTCACCTTCAGAGCAGCGGGAGCGGAAGTCCTTGGCCGAGGAAAAGAAGAAAGTGGTACGCTGGAGGGGATACCTTGGGGGGTGCCACAGGTTGAGTGACGTGGGCTAGGGGGTGTGGGAAGCCCCCCAACATGCTGCCCATCTGGCCCACAGAAGAACCTGGGGTTCCGGGACTCGGGCTATTACTGGGAGGTGCCACCCAGTGAGGTGCAGTTGCTGAAGAGGATCGGGACAGGCTCCTTTGGCACTGTGTTTCGTGGGCGGTGGCATGGTGACGTGGCCGTGAAAGTGCTCAAGGTAGCCCAGCCCACTGCTGAGCAGGCCCAGGCCTTCAAGAATGAGATGCAAGTGCTCAGGTGAGGTCCCTCTTGTGTGTGGCTGGGGAGCGGGGTGTGGGGGTGGTGGCAGACACAGGCTTGGCACCTGCCTAGGAAAAGCCATGCCACAGGGTGCTTCCTGGATGTCACCTGGATTTGTGTACCGTTGTACCTGTAATCAGAAGTAACTTCTCTTAAGGATGTCCCCTCCCTTTCTGGAAAATTGGCCTATGGAAAGGACCAGCTGATATTATTGCTTGTGTTTGGGGTAATATTGATAGTGATTAACAGTTCTGCCTCCAAAGTGTGGATCTCCTCATTGAGCTGCTGTGACTGGGTCTGCATGTAGGCCATCGTCCCCATGACCACAGCACATAGGTGAAGAGCTTAGTGTCATTGTCTGCAGTGCCACAGGGAGGCTGGTGCCCTTCCTTCCCTTGTGCTGTGTTGCATCACGCATGTTAGGGTTCTTGTGTTGCATTCTTGTTATAAATTAATCATAATAGCACCTTAATGCAAAGAGCAGTGTTGTTATAATCATAACCATAATCAAATCATTTAATGATTGTAATTGCCATAAATAATGTATAACTAATGCTGTATTCATTCACGCTGAGAAATCCAGGTGTTCCCTTTTTGCTGCTCTAGTTACTGTGTAGTGCTACATGCTTGTATTCTACATAGGCAGTACAGTGTTGGCTCTGGGTGTGTGTGGTGCCCAGGATGCAACCCAAGGTCTTGTGCACACTGGGCACATACTCTGCCACTGAGCTACTCCCCAAGCCCCCAAGAGTGTGTAGTTTCTGCCACTCCTGTGGATGCCAATACGAGCTATTTCCCTGTCAAATGGGCACAATTTTGTTATAGAGTCAATGTCATCATAGTTTCCTGGGCTGTATTAATATATATCCTTATAAGGAATGCCATAGTAAGAAGATTTTTTATTCTTTGCTTTTCTCTGTGAAATGGCAATGATTTGAGCATGTACTAATTTGCGTTCTATTAATATACAGTGTATTATTTTTGCAGTACTGGGGATTGAACCCAGGCCCTTTGCACTGAGCTAGATCCCCAGCCCTTTTTTCTTTTTTGAGACAAGATCTCACTAAGTTGCTAAAGTTGCCCAGGCCGAGCTCAAACTTGTGATCATCCTGCCTTGGCCATCCAGTGCTGGGATTACAGGTGTGCACCACCATGCCCAGGTTGTATTAATATTTAAACCATAGGTTTCCCACTATTCAATCCTTATGTGTTGGATTGAGGATTTAGCTCTACCACGGGCCTTGGGTTCAATCCCTAGCAATGCAAAAACAAAACAAAAACGAAACTAATTTTTAAAATCTTCATTGCTTTCTTATCCTCTCTGACATAAGCAAAGTTTCAGGCCATCATCTATGTTATTTGCCTTTGTGTTACCATTTCTGACTGTAGTTAATACTTCCATAAGGGATGAAGTTTTTCTCAAAAAGTAGGGTAAGACAGTTTTTGCCGGACAGTTTCCATGAAATGGACCCAGGAACTCAGGAGCCATAACAATAAGAACAGTGAAATTTTCAAGAGTGTTTACCGTGTGTTCAGTTGTGTTGTAAAGCACCTTATGGGTTATTTGTTCACTTACCCTGCCTGCCATCCCTACGTCATAGCTACTATTGCAGTGTTGCAGTTGAGAAATGTGAGGTTAAATGTCCTCCCTGAGTTTGCACAGTAAGGAACTGGTGAAAGCTTGATTTGAACTCAATGTATAAGTTTAAACTCCAAGCTCTTTACGTCTAAGCCTTTTGTGGTGATGAGTGAGCTGTCGTCATCCCAGGTCACCCATATTCTGACCGTGCAGGTATCAGTATTAATGATATATCTGTGAGGAAGACTGATGTTCCACCTTCTGGTCTGTACAGTGGTCACAGGCCCAGGCAGTGGTCAGTCTGAGGTGTATGTGTAGGGTGGTGATGATTAGAGCCCCCGCTGGGAGGCAGCCAGGTGGGGCAGTCGTCTCGTGCTTCTGCTTTTGTTGGCAGACTCCATGAGGAAGCTCAAGACAAGAAGCCCTAGTGGAGAATCATAGCCCAGCAAACATATCTCCCAGAGTCACAAAAGCCCTGAGTGGCACAAAAGACAAGGTGCCGTGACTGACAGGAGAAGCCGTGAACAGTGCATTCCTGATGCTCAGCAACTGCATGATGGTTGTTATTTTTCCTCCCCATTGGATTCCACCCTCTTTGTCTTCCCATAGGAAGACCCGCCATGTCAACATCTTGCTGTTCATGGGTTTCATGACCCGGCCAGGATTTGCCATCATCACACAGTGGTGCGAGGGCTCCAGCCTCTACCACCACCTGCATGTGGCTGACACGCGCTTCGACATGGTCCAGCTCATTGACGTGGCCAGGCAGACTGCCCAGGGCATGGAGTGAGCCTTCAGTCTAGGGGGCCGGGGAGGGGAGGGGGGGGGAGGAGGATGAAGAAGCCTCCAGCCAATTCACCATCTGCCTCCATCCCACAGCTACCTCCACGCCAAGAACATCATCCACCGAGACCTTAAGTCTAACAGTATCTACTTGTTCCTGGGCTGGATTGGGGTGCAGTGTTAAATGGGGTGAGGGCTTAGAGAGATGTTTCTCATGTGCAGGTTTCTGGGAATGAAGGCAGGCATGTGTCGCACGGCTCCTTGCCAAGTGGCAGAGCTATGGCTAGTGAAGTGGCTTTAATGGGGGGCTCTTGGTTAGGAGTCAAGAGATGTGGCTGGTTTAGGTACTGTTCTTGGGGCCTCTCATCAGGGTGTGAGGTGTGGCAGTTGTCAAGAGTGCTAATAGGAAGTTTCCAACCAGGGTTATAGGCACCATGGGTTTGAAAGCATTAAAAGGGGCTTCCTGGTCAGGGGTCGCACAGGGGCAAGTGTGGAGAGCATTAATTGTAGATCATTCAGAAGACATTAGGGGGCTTCTGGTCAGGGTCAGAGGCATGACTGATGTGGGGGCGTTAATGGGACCCTCCCAGTCAGGGTGAGAAGCGAGGCTATCGGGAGTCCCTCTAGTGGCCCTTGACTGTGGTGGACATCTTCCTACATGAGGGGCTCACAGTGAAGATCGGTGACTTCGGCCTGGCCACGGTGAAGACGCGGTGGAGTGGGGCCCAGCCCCTGGAGCAGCCCTCAGGCTCTGTGCTTTGGATGGTAAGTTGGGCCAGGCTGAACGGGGGGCCTAGGGAGACATGGGCTCCAGGATTGGGCCATGCAAGGCAAAGCAGGGATGGGGCCAGGTGTAGATGTCTGGACTGTTCCTGTTTGACTTTGTGTGGGTGGCTCCAAGCTGTACCCAGTGTGGCCAGCAGGGTCTGGGACTGCGGGCTGGCCATTTGCTGACCCTCACGGTTCCCCTGCTCTGTGTGGTCCATTGAAGGCAGCGGAGGTGATTCGCATGCAGGACCCGAACCCCTACAGCTTCCAATCAGATGTCTATGCCTACGGGGTTGTGCTCTATGAGCTCATGACCGGCTCACTGCCTTACAGTCACATCGGCAGCCGTGACCAGGTGAGCCTTTATACCTTGTCCACAGCTGCCCCCAAACCTCTACCTTTGCACAGACCAAGAGTATCACTTCCCCCAGGAACCTCGAATTTTGGGGGAAGAGAGCTCCGGAGTAAATCCCTTTGGTGTCCTATATAGGCTCCTCTCTTCTCCATCTCCACAATCTCTGGGGGAAAAAACCCTCAAAATCCAGAATCCACTGAACTCCTATACCATGAATGCCCTTAGGCTCTAAAGCACCCAGAAGCCCTGTGGACCCCTGGACACCTACGGTCTTCTGCTGTGGGGACTTAAAATACTCCAAGTACCCCAAACCCCAGAACCCTATTTCTCCCAGAAAGAATCCCTTTTACTTCCTGAATACTCACAGGAACCCACAATCACCCAGGCTTTGGGTATTCAACAGGCATTGAGGGTCTGGCACCCGTGATAATGTTCTAGGCTCCAGACTCTCGCAGTTTTACAGGTTCACAGCCTAGAACCTCCCAAACCCTCAGAGACCCAAGGTCCTCTAGGCTACCAAGTGTTGGGGCTCTGAACCAAGTCTTACAGGCCATGTGGGCTTCAGACTCTCACAGAAATGCAAGCTCCCTCAGACCAGGAACTACATGTTTCCCCAAGATGCAGTACTTTCTAAGCCCCTAAGCCCCCTAGAAACCTGTGGACTCCTGGTCCTGTGGGACCCACACACCTTACATTCCTTGATACCTCCAAACCTAAGTCCCTTTGTTCGGCAAGCAGAGAATTCTCCCAAGTCCTCAGACACCCAGAATCCTCTGGACACCAATACCTAGAGAACACCAGTTTCCCCAAAGAGTCTCCTACATCCTTCAAGACCCAGAATCCCAGGGCCTTTCAGCCCAAACCAAAAGTCACCGCATTCCTGCCTCCCTGCCCTAGATCATCTTCATGGTGGGCCGAGGCTATCTGTCGCCAGACCTCAGCAAAATCTCTAGCAACTGCCCCAAGGCCATGCGGCGCCTGCTGTCTGACTGCCTCAAGTTCCAGCGAGAGGAGCGGCCCCTCTTCCCACAGGTTAGCTGGGTAGGAGGGCTGGATGCCTGCGGGGTGTGGGCGGATGACATGGAGTGTGTGGAGACAGATGTGTATGTATACCATTTTGAAGGCTCAGAGGTGTGTGTGGGGTGTGTGTGTGTGTGTGTGTTTCCCCATTAAAGTGAGGGTGTTGGAGTGCCCATGGGGCTCTAGACACCCCTCCTCACCCTCACCTGCCCCCAGATCCTAGCCACGATCGAGCAGCTGCAACGGTCACTCCCCAAGATTGAACGGAGTGCCTCCGAGCCCTCCTTGCACCGCACCCAGGCTGATGAGTTGCCTGCCTGCCTCCTCAGCGCAGCCCGCCTTGTGCCTTAGACTACACCTCCAGTCACCAGGGAGCCGCCCTCAGCTCTCCTGCCAAGGAGCCCTGCCCACCAGCCAATCAATGTTCGTCTCTGCCTCAGTACTGCCTCAGGATCCCCCATCCCCTCCCCTCAGAGATGCGGGATCCCTAAGTGCTCTTCCACTTTCTCTGGAATCGGAGACCCCCCTAAAGACTGAGATCCCTGCCTCCTCCGTAGTTTGGTTTCTTTTTGGCTTTGGGGATACTTCTAAATTTGGGGAGCTGCTCCATCTCCAATGGCTGGGATTTGTGGGAGGGATTCCACTCAGAACTTCTTTGGAATTTGTGCCTGATGTGCCTTCACTGGATTTTGGGGTCCCCAGCACCCCATGTGGATTTGGGGGTCCCCTATGTCTCCCTTGCCATTCAAGGACTCCCCTCTTCCTTCACCAAGAAGCACAGAATTCTGCTGGGCCTTTGCTTGTTTATTTTGTTTCCCGACTCGTCTCTTGGGGTTCAGAGCCGCTGAGGGGTGGGGAGAGTCCAGGCAAGGAGTGGGGATTGGAGGGAGATGCAGACCACACAGACAGCATCACTGCACACATCACCACAGGCGGCACGGTGAGCGAGGACCACATATGCCAAGCACGGCACAAGAGGAGGCCACATCAGTCACAGACACAGACGTCACAGCAGAGGTGGGGAAGTAGAAGACCACCAGTCTTCCATGTGCAAAGGATTCTGGGAGAATGGGTGGAATTTGCATATTTAAAGACAGCTGTCTGAGGCAGGAAACTGGGGTAGGGGTCCCTGGGAGAACTGAGGGGTCCTAGAAGCAGAAGGAACTCCCAGTGTGTTGAATGGGGTTAGGGGGAGTAGATAAAGGGAAATCTTTATGGAGCTGGGTGGGAAGTGGCATTTGAAGATGTGGATCCCCAGAGAGATGGGAGATCCATGGGAAGGGACTCAGAGGTAGGGGTTTCTTGAGTTGGAAAGTGCTGATGAGGAACAAAGTGCTAGATTCAGGAGTAGGAATAGGGTTTTCCAGGACTTTCAGGGCTCCAGGAGGGGATTCAGTAGTGTTAGGGCCAGAAACACGTTGCTTGATACTTGGGAGTGTCCAGGTAGTGATAATTTAGGAGTACCAGGAATGGAGGTTGCCAGGAATTTGGAGGTTCTAAAACATCTTTAGGGTGACCAGGAGCAGGATTCTAAAAGGACTTGAGGATCCCAAACATGAGAACTGGATTTAGGACCAGGTTTCAAAAGCGACTTGGGCATCTTGAAGGATGAGAAGTGGGATACTGGAGAACCAGGAGAGGGGTTCTCAAAGGATTTGGAGGTTCCAAAAGAGAAATGGTTTGAGGGCCCAGAGAGGGATTGCCCAGGGATTTAGGGTTTCTCAGGGTGGGGGTGTCAGTCGGAGAAGAGGCTGGCGAAAGACTTCCTCAGGCTGCGGATGGTCTCAGCTTTCACCTCGTCCTGGCTAAGGCTGGGCCTGGGCGGGGCTGGCTCTGGAAGGTTGAAGGCATTGGTCAGAGACTGGGATTTGCTAGAGAGAGACAAGGTGGAGGCATGGGAGGAAGGGGGGAAGAGGAAGGGGAGGAAGGGAGAGAAACACAATGTTACCCCAGGCCCGGCCCCAGCCCTGCCCCTCCGATCCTGGGGCTGTGCCTGTGACTTCCCCACCCACCACCGAGGGCCTGGACCCCGTGAATTCTCCAGGCCGGGAGAACTCAGGAAGTTGGTGGAGGCGGGGCCTGGGAGGTAGGACTAGCTGGGAGGATTGAGTTTTGAGGTGAAGTGTGGCATCAATGGGAAGAGGCCCGGGCTGAATCTGCACTTTGAGTTCTAGGCTACTTTAATATGAAGTGGGAGTCTAGGAGAGACTGGGAGGGACTTGGACCCAGGTCTGCCTGGTAGGGACGAGTCAGACGGAGGAGCAGTTGAATGGGGCAGGGAGGATTCCTGAGGTAGGGTGAGTTGGACTGGACCAGAAGAGCCAAAGAGAGGAGGATGTAATGATTTGAGAGGAGGCTCAGACCAAAACTATGTGGGGACGGACTAGAAAGAGGCCTAGACTTGGAGAAAGAGGATCTAAGACGTGAAATGCTGATGAGGGCTCTGCAGTGGCCATGGGGCATGTCAGGGGCCAACTGACAGAAGTTTTCCAGGAAGGCTGTGCATGTTGGGCTAGGAGATGTGTGTGCAGAGAGGAGCTGGAGGTGGGCCTGCCTGGTGCCTGGGATGAGCTAGGCCTGGAATGGGGACTTTCCCAGGGCACGCTGTGAGGAATCTGAGCTAAAAGTAGAGTTTCTCTGGGATTTTGATTCCAAATTCCTGTGATGGAGACACTGAAGGACCTTGGGTGGAGGGGAGGAGTGCAAGCCGGGAGGAGGGTTTGGGCTTAGGCTTCAGACAGCTCTGGCCTGGGCCTGAGGAACATGGGAACTAGGGCTGCCCTACTGGGGCCAGAGCCCACTTTGTGAGCAGCAAGGCGAGGGCTGCTGTTGAGGTCCCCTTACTTGAGCTGGGGGTGTGGGGGTCCCCCGGCAGCGGCGCTGGCAGGTGGCGGCACATCCTGGCTGGGTTTCTGGGCCAGCTGTGGCTTGGTGGGACGTCCAGCAGGACCCGGGCCACTAGGCCGGGGCTGCTGCGTGGTGGGTGGCCCAGTGCGAGGTCCAGGACCCGCCTGGCTGGCCTGACGAGTGGGGCCTGCAGGGCCTGGGGGTTTCTGGGGAGGGCCCTGGCGCTGCTGCCCAGCTGGTGGGGCCCCCGAGGCCTTCGGCGGAGCAGGACCGGAGACAGACGTCTGACGGGTAGCTTGTGGGGGCCCTGCCTGGCGCTGGGGCGATGGGGAGGCCGGTGGACGGGTTGCTGGAGGTGCCCCAGGGCCTCCTGCTACTGGCCGGGATTGGCGGCCTTGACCCTGGGTCATCGGTGCGGCCTGGGATGCAGGCTGCTGAGGCCCTGATGTGGGACTTGGTAGGCGCTGAGGCAGGGGACTCCCAGCTGGGGGTCCAAGGCCCGACAGGTGCTGCTGACCCTGCGGGGGTGGGCGCTGCTGCAATGGGGGTCCCTGGCGCTGAGGGCCTGGGCCAGGCTGTGGAGGGCCACCTGGGGGACAGAGAGAGAGAGAGCACACATGTGAGCGCACAGTGAGAGGCAGTGCTGCTTGGAATGCTGGGAAAGCCGCCCTCACTTACCCTGGGGTGGGGGTCGTTGCTGAGCTGGGGGCCCAGCAGGCTGCTGGGAGGTCTGGCGGCCCAAGGGCGGGGCCCCTGGAGAAGGAGTCTACAGCAGAAGGGTGGAGCAGAAGAGGTTAAAAATAGCCAATCACAATGGCCTGCCTCCCATTCTGCCCGGTGGTGGTGCCCTCTGTGTGGCCAGCTGAAGCGATGTGGGGCTGGGAGTCCCCCCACCCCATACTCAGGGGTCAGGAGGCACTCAGGGAGGAGAGGTAGCAGATACATGTTGGCAACCGGCCACATGTGCACACAGGAGATGTCGGTAAACTACTGATGATCAGCTCAGTGGCACAGCTTGACCAAGGGCTGGCCTCCCCACCGCTATCTCCACGTCAAGGGCCTCACCTGGCTGTGGGAGGCCCTAGCAGGGGAGGCATCACGCTGCCGCTGCCGGGGCAGAGCCTGAGCCATCTTATTGACCACGAGCTCCACGATGAGCTGTTTGTCTTCATCCTGGTGGTCACCAATGAGCGGCATGGAGGAGCCCACCACCTGGGGCGGGAAAAGGGGTCCAGTGAGAGGAGAGGACGTCCTAACGGGCTCTCATTGTGCACTGCAAGGGAGCCTTGTCTGTTACAAGGCACCTGACCATGTCTGAGGTCCTTCAGAGCAGGGTCAGCAAATCAAGGCCTGTGGGCCACATCCAGCCTGCTGCCTTGCTTGTGTACGGCTCCTGAGCTAAGGATGAGTTTGATGTCTTTTAATGGTTGAAAAAGTCAAAAGGTTTCATGATATATAAAAATAATGAAAAATTTAAATTTCATTGTTCACAAACTGTATTTTAGACATGAACACATAAGCCATGTCCATAAACACAGTCACGCTTAGGTGTTTATACCGTGTCTGTGGCACCTTTGCAGAGCTGAGTCACTGCAAGACTCCATGGCATGCAAAGCTGAAAACGTGTACTGTCTGGTGCTTTACAGAAAATGTTTGCCAATTCTCACTCCAGTTTGCTAGGCACTTTGTTAGAGAGTGCTTTGCTGTTGCCCCAGTTTAAAGGTAACTAAGTGCTTCATCATTCACCAAGACGTTTAGCAAGTAGTTTACTGCTCACCAAAGAGGTCCAAGTTAGAGCAAGTTGGAGTTTTTGTTTGCGGTGCTGGCGATTGAACCCAGAGCCTCATGCATGCTAGGCAAGCACTCGCCACTGAGTCACACTCTGCCCCACGTTAGAATTGACTGTTTAGCCATTTGCTGGGGATGTCCCAGGTCCCAAGGTACTTTGTAGTTTACTTGGCCATCCACTGAAGACTGAGCCGTGTAGAGCTCAGAGGTTTGGAGAGTTGCTGCCGTGTACCTGCTCCTCCCTCTGTGCCCCGCTGACCCCTGGGTGCTCATACCTCAATGATGTGATCCCTTCCATCCTTCCCATGCAGCGCTTCCACTGCACAGATGTCCAGTCCCCCAAAAATCTCCGAGCATGTGTCCACCCACAGCTTGTACCTGCCAAGATGGGGGCAGGGCAGCCAGTCAGGGCCTTGCCAGGGGTCACAGTCTCGCCCTCCCTGTCCCTGTCACGTGTTCAGCCCCCACCTGTCAGACATGGCGATCTGCTCAAGCATCGCAGAGCCTGTGTTGGTCTTCCAGTTCCCCGACACTGATGTCCTCCTGGGGGACAAGCACGGAGAGGCTTAGGGGGGCCTGGGCTGTACAGGGTAAGGCAGAGGACCCCTCCCCAGGCCCAGGTCTCCAACTCACATGTAAGCCTTGTAGTTCTGCCCAATCTTCTGGACGCGGACATCATATTTAGCATCAATGAAGGGCTCTGCAGTGGCGTATGTCTTGGTCAGTGCCACAACACTTGCAATGTCCTGGAAGTCGTGCTGATTGTCCACCTTGACCTGTGGGCATAGGGATGGGGCTCAGGACAGTAGTGGGAAGAGGGGCCATCTGGAGGTGTGTGTATGCGTGACACATGGGTGAGGTGAGTACACAGAAATTAGGGGGCCACACCAAGGCACTCAAGCATGCACAACTGTGAGTCTCTCTTTTGTACATGCCCACCCAAACATAAAAGGGTGTTTACAACTCTGTGAACATTCTAAAAAACCATTGAATTTTCCACTTTAAATGAGTGAGCTGCATGGTGTTTGAATTATATCTTAATAAAACTGTGAAAGCCCTGTGTGTATATGTATTATATTCAAGGGGCACCCAGACACAAACTCAGTTGTACACACTATAACAAACATACAGAAGCTGGGACACACTCAGACTTACAAATCACAAGTCTGCTTTCTACATGCATATAGACAAAATCAGCATACTGGACCCCGAGACCCTGGAATGTAAAAGATGATATGACGCGTGTTCACAGAAGCACACATATACCCACAGACACAATGCCGGATACACTGGCACAGTAACAGGATACAAAATTGCCTGAATACACAACAGAAAAACAAGCTGGCAAAATTAGTTGAATATGAGAAAACAAAAATGCAAATAGACATCCTAGGACACACCATGAAACAGAATTACTGGTGTGCACCGAACACACAAATGCCCGACTATTGACATGCTTCTGCACAGCGCCCCCAGTGTGCACTGTACAAACACACGCACATGCACACCCTCCGGCTGGGGACTCACCTTGCCCATCCCAGAGTGTGCATGCCCCATCTTCACAACCACAGGGTACGTCGTGCTGCTGAGCTGGTGGGGAAAAGGCAGAAGAGGCATGGTCAGGGTAGGAGTGCCGACCACCAAGGGTGGGATGGTGCTCAGCAACCCCATCTAATGTGAGCAACGCTATGAGACATTCTGCAGAAAAGATGGGTCAGAGACAGGCAGACACCACCTAGGAGTCGCACAGCACTCCAAGCCCAGAATGAAATCCATAGCCCTGCCTGCCTGCCCTCCTGCCCACCCCACCCCCGCCCCAGTCCACACTTCCTGCCACTGCTTTCCCAGACAGAGGCATGGGATACGGGTGGGAGACTTTCCTGGAAAAGAGAAAGTTTGTTTTTACAATGAATGGATGATAGCGAGATGAGTGTGTGTGTATGGGGGTGTAGTGGTTAGCACATAGCAACTGGACCTCTCATCCAAGCCTTGTGTGTGCGTGACTTAGAGATTCACATAAACCGTCAGGTCTACCCAGCCCACGAGCGTTGAGACAGACAATCAACACAGGCTCCAACACACCCAGCTCTAGGGCTGAACAGAGATCCACACAGGCATTCCTGCGTGGGCACTGAGCCAGCCAGGTGCTCATGGCATGGACAGCAGCCAGGGTTCCTGAGCCGCACACACTCCACACTCTCAGCCACACAACCAGCGCTCTGGGGGCGCATACACACAAAGCCAGGCTCCCTGCCCCTACCCAAACCCACATAACAGAGGGACACAAGCACAAAGATTTACCCCTGCGGTGGTACACAGGCACACATAAATCTACAGGTACACACAATACAACTGGACACATATCAAACTCACAGACACTTGCAACACTCCTGGGCAGATGCACAACAAGCCAAAGGCTCTACACAACATATGGAAGGTGCATGCACTTCTAGGTTCTCACATAACCACAGCCCCATAATACCGACCCACACTAAAGTCCTGGGCACACAAGAAGTATTTGCAGCTGGGTGTGGTGGCACATGCCTGCAATCTCAGCATTGTGGGAGGCTGAGGCAGGAAAATCGCAAGTTTGAGCCCACCTTGGGAACTTAGTGACTTAGTGGGACCCCACCTCAAAACGAAAACCAAAAAAGGGGCTTGGGGGGTAACTCAGTGAGACAGCCCTGGGTTCAATCCCCAGTACTATACACAAAAGTATATCCAGACACACCCAACCTCCCTGGCAGTATATACAGTACAGGGAGACATGCACACAATCCAGAGATACCTTCTACAACCCAGGCTAAGTATATAGACACACCTAGGTGTTCACACACACACACACACACACACACACACACACACACACACACACGCTCACACGCATTCAGGTGAATGGAAAACCTCAAATCTTCCTTCACCCTGGGCAGGGAAAAGGAAACTGGGCTGGCAGACGCCCGCCTGTCACAGTGTCACAGTGCATGTGCACACACAGGGTCCCTGCCTCTGGCTGACAGGGTAGAGATGGCTTTCCTGGAGAGGGTGCTGGGGTGGTGACAGTTCCTGGATCCTGACAGGCACAGGAAGCCCGCAGACTCAGGATGACTGACCTTCAGCCCTTACCCTCTCTTTACACCTCCCCTCCCTCATTTCCCAAATGACTGGCGTCATTTTGGGGGTGGTGAGAGGCTCAGTGTTGGGACAGGGGAGGGAGGGTTCTCTAGGTAGTATGCCAGGGAAACTGCCAAGGGGTGTGTGTGTGTGTGCGTGTGTGTGTGTGTGTGTACGTGTGTGTGTGTGAGAGAGAGAGAGAGAGAGAGAGATCACTCCAGTATACTCACAGCACGAAGAGGTGACTGGCACACTTAGGACTGCATATGCAACCCACAACTCCCAGAAATCACACCCAAAACACTCAGGCACGTTCCCAACTCTCAGAAAGGGAAATTCACATCAAGGGGCACACACACCATTCCAAGAGGCAGAAACACATCAGAGAGCTGCTATCTCTCTCTCACACACACACACACACACACACACACCTGCTGAGGTTTGTAGGCCCTTCTTTACTTCCTCTGCACCTGAGTCTGAATGTCACCTTGGGTCTGTGTATGTCCATGCCCACCCACTTGTGTGAGCAGGGAGCTTTGGATCCCTGGGAGACCCCTAGGCTTGAATCTTTTGTTTGTTTGAAATGGGAGGGGGTCTCTTTATGTTGCCCAGACTAGTCTTGAACTCATGGACTCAAGCAATCCTCCTTCTTCAGCCTCCTGAGTAGCTGGGGTTATAGGCACTCACCACTCTGCCTAGATCTTGGACTTGAATTTTTGTTTCTCTTCTTCCTGCGGTCATGTGGGACCATAGATATGTCACTTAAACCCTGTTTGGGCCTCAGTTTCTTGGTCTGTATAAAGGGCACGATCAGGCCCAGCACTTGGTACATCATTTGGGGATTATCAGGTATTTGCTCTGCACATGCCAGCTGGTCCCCAGCATCCCACCCTTATCCAGCTCTCCAGATGGTCATAGACCCAGACACCCCTCCTCGAGGATCACCTCTACCCCTTTTCAAACCCGGACCCGCATAACTTCTCACTTATAAACAGTTGGCAAAATTATATGCTGACTCAAGTTTGAGAGCTCGAGCTGGCGTCAGAAGTGGGATTAGTGACAGCCCGAGATAGGACTTTCCCTGTTTTCACTTCTGTCTTTCTCCAGTCGCTACGCTGAGTTACTCAACTCCTTCAGTGCAGTCTCACTCCCCCACTTTCACAATCACCTTCTCTAAATCTGTGCTTCCCTCCCTCCCTTCCTCTCTTTTATTGCTTCTCCCAACAGCTGTTTCTTCACTCTCATTCCTGGGCAGGTCACTTCACCCTGCTTTGTTTATGAGAGTAAGAACGGTACGGAATTCACAGGACCGTGAGGAATACAAGAATGGTCTGCAACAGGGATAGGAGGGATAGAAGAATGCCACGTAACTCCTGGGGATGTGAAGGATAAGTCAATATTTTAGGAAAAAACCTACTTAGCACAGAATCTCTGGCACAGATTAAATGTCAATCATCAAAAAGTATTAGGTACTATTGTTATTATTGGGTTAATAGTCCCTTCATTAACTTTTTTTTTGGTGGTGGTGGTGGTACTGGGGAACTGAACCCAGGGTCTTCCCACTGAGCCACATCCCCAGCTCCCTTTAGATTTTGAGACTGGGTCTCACTAAATTGCTAAGTTGCCCAGGATGGGCTCAAATTTGCAATCCTCCTGCCTCAGTCTCCCAGAGTGCTGGTATTGCAGGTGTGTACCACTATGCCCTGCTTCACGAAGTAGCTTTAATGGACGAAGAGATCACTGAGATCATCTGCAAGAGATAATGTACATACAAAGACTTTAGCAGACCGTAAGTGCTGCCTGGTAGTTTTCATTGCGGTGTCGTGGTTGTTGCGCCAACCTCCCCAACTTAATCAAGCTTAATTAGCAAGTGGGTAGTGGACAGTGAATGAGATAATTTACACCAGACCTTCTTAGTCCACAGTACACAGTAAGAGCTTAATAAGTAGCTGCTGTCATCACTATCCTCATCATCATTCTTGGTCTGTCCTCTGAATTAACCAAGGATGCTAATCAGCCCTCAGAACGCTTTATCAGGACCCCAGGGGATACTCCCACAACAACAGGAAGCGGGTGGGCACCACTTGCCTCATGCCACCCCCCGCCCGGGCTGTGGGACCGTTGGTGGGGAAGGGGCAGGGCAGGATGGGGTGGGGATCGGGTTTCTATTGACTCACTACTTCTTTCGCCACCGTCCAGCACCCCCTCCCTTGCTTGCCAGGACAGTGCCTTGCCTGGGTTAGAATACCAGGGCCAGTCAGCTTAATTTGTTCAAATCCCAGCCATGCCATGCTCTGTGAACCTGGGAAAGTTCTGAAACTCCTCTATGCCTCATATTTCCTCATTCATAAGGTGAGCATACCACTGGTTCCCACCTCAGAGTCTTGCTATGAACTTTTTGATGCTGTTTTTTAGATGAGTTTTGCTATGTAGCCCATGGAACTTGAGATGTTCCTCCCTCTGGCTCTTGAGTGCTGGGATTATAGATGTGCAACCTCATGCTCAGCTGTTGTGAGCTTTAAGTGAGATAAATTAAGCTGAGTGCCACTATATCAATGCTGGTATTTAAATTTTTTTCAGGGCTGGGAATGAAACCCAGGGTCTCATCCTGTCTAGGCTAGACTAGGGATCTACTACTGAGCTGCACCCTCAGTCCTGCCTGTTGTTTTTTGAGAAAAGTATTTTTGATCAAGGCTCCAGGCCACCTGACACCAGTCCGAGTTCTGCTACTTCTTAACTCTGTTGATCTTAGATGAGTCACCTACCCGCATTTAGTGCCTCAGTTTCTCCACGTTGTGTTCTACCCACATTCACCTGCCTTAGTTCGCTCTGCTGAACTTTCCTCCCCCTCAGCAAAATGTCAGACACACCAGGGGTCAGCATAGAGTAGATGCACAATAAATGTTGAAGGAATGAACTATTTCAGGCTTCAACCAAGGGAAGTTTGGGGGAGGCAGGTAGTTGGAGAGACTTTGGGGACCTTCGGGGCTTGGACTGCAGGCCTGACAGCTCTTGGAGGCCGCAAGACGTGGAGCGGGGGGGAGGGGGCGCGGCGGTTGGCGCGCGCGGGCGGAGGAGGGTGGATCTCCTTGGGCAGCCCTCGGCCCGCCCCTAGGCTTCTGTGCTGGGGTGGGCGGATGAGTAATGCATCCAGGAAGCCTGGAGGCCTGTGATTTCCGCGCCAACCCCGCCCCTCGCGTGGACATTTATCCTCTCCTGCTCCGGCCCTGCCGCCATCGCCGCAGATCCAGCGCCTAGAGAGACACCGGAGGTGAGCGGGGACCTGGGTGTCCCGGCAGGGCTGGGCTGGGCTGGGCTGGGCTGGGCTGGGCTGGGCTGGAGTCTGTGTGCGCGCCGGCCACCAGGCCAGTCCTGTCCCGTGCCAGATGCCGGGCTGCTCAGCCTGGCCTGGGGAGACGAGAACCCTGGGCTGGTCAAGGGAGGACGAGGGTGCGAGGCAGAATTGAACCCCCAATCCC